CGTAGAGAACAGCTCCATCTATAAATCGGCCCTCGTTGAAGTTGCGTCATTATGCGCGTTCCGTGATTCGCACCAAGCTGATGCGTTGTGCTATGTCCGGCGAAAGCCAAACTGCTCCTTATTTAAGATGTGAATTCTTCTGAAACATATTTTAGAATCTGGTTTTGAATTAGTTTTTCACCCCAGAGCTTTTCAACCGTGACTTGTAGTAGACTTTATGGCCTGCACGTACTGGGTGGGGGGCGTCGAGATTTTCCCTTGCTTGCTGAAAAATTAAAAACATGTGCATGTTATCCACTGACTCCCGGAAACCCCTGAAACATAAATATAGCATAAAACAGAATGTAGGCATCAACCACCCAAACGTGAGCTACTTCAAAAAATGCAAATCACAATTCATAAATGGTCTCATCAGCCCGTGCGAAACAGCTTCTATACGAGCCCTAGATCGTCGTATTTTAAGATGCCCGTCGGGGGCCTGTGAGCTATTTCTAGCGTTTTCCAAGCCACCTCCGACGGATGCCCCGCGTTATCAAACTTCAGTTTATCTGTAGCGCAACTCGGCTCCTCGGCCCGCGGGTCCCACCCCGCCAAAGCTCGCCTTGGCACCAACGCGTTTGTTGCTTTTTAACAGTGCCGCCCATAACTACCGCGTTTATTGTATTTTGTTTTTAACTTATACGACACGTTATTGCCCGGCACGGACAGAGTCTCTTATCATCTTGTGACACAACTGAAAACTGAAGATTCAGAAGACATGAGCTAAGAAATTCCAAACTTCGCAAAACTCGTATAATAGATATTACTGCGAAGACATACATAACAATATACACAAATTAATGAAACTAGGTCTGACAAGCCGGAAACGACTCGACGAGGGCACTGGTGATGGGAAGAGAAGGGGAGCGACAGGCAGACCCATGGAACCCTCAGTATGCCGAGGACTCCGCACAAACGAGGGTGAATGAATTATCGTCTTTCACACAATGCCACACAGTATTGATTCGGTGTTCTTTTGTGGATCAACAATTTAATCTCCATTTCTACTTGCCCCAAGCGTTATTTTATGGATAGTTCAATTTCTACTTTACGTTTCAATCGATTTAGCTGCGCGTTATCATCTGGTGTCATCGTGCTCTGCCCACAAATTCTGGCCCGCGCAGGCGCCCTGATTTTTCATAGAAATTAAGTTGATAAGACGGGTTTAATGTTGCTCGCTACTCTTTAGAGGAACTGCCTTGCTTCTCAGCTGCTCGCGTTTGAGCTTCAGTCACAGCTTCGGCGAATTGTTGTGCTCCAGTTCCATCTGCTGCGGGTCTTGACAGAGCAATGCATCGGGTATTGCGCTGCTGCCAGCTCCGTCTAGAATTTATTCCAGTCCATGGCGTCCTTCTGCCGATCGAGGTGTGCCAGTCGACAGGTAGCAAGTTGTTAGTGTGGGAGGTAATGGCACGTTTCGGCCAGAGCGTGATATCTAAGTATCGGGCTTGCCCGCTTCCGTGTCGAACAGGGATAATTAGGTGGTGGCATGTATAGGAGCGAATATATATCTTCGCAAGACCGTTTTGCATTATCCGGTAGGTTGCCTTTCAAGCTTACGAGCCGCAGAGGGCAGTGTGATGCGAGAGAGTCCAGGCTAACGTCCGGAGCGTCTGTGTGTGTTGGGGCATTAAACAGAGTTGGCCAAGCCACAAAGGATTGGGGTTGTGTAATTGCCTCTCTACTATGTTTTGTGCAACATACTGCAGTGCTAGGAGCAGGTCGGCGGACACCGGTTCTCGCGTGCGAGTCAGGGCACTGCGTAGTGGAAATGAGGACACGCAGTGCCCCTCGCTCGTACAATTCAGTCCCGAACGACAACAGCAGTGGCCTGGGCGTGCTGCCAAAGCTGCGGTATAAAAACACATGATGCTGTACTAATGAGATACGTTGCCACTTATTAATATTTGCCAATATGTGCCGCCCGCCGTCTGTCCGCATTTGGCCTGCTTGTGCTACCTGCCGTTTTCTGTAGGTTGAGGAGGTATTAGAAATGTCTGGAGATAAATTTAACAAATTCGATGTGGGTTAACAGCCAAAAGTACTCCCACACCCAACATTCATAGTATTAAGAGATATTGCACCGTGCGAGAAAACTGGCAGTTTGGACTGCTTCACTCGTGAGGCAGATCCTACGTTGCCGAGATCAAAATTCAAAGGGTGCCCGCTGTTCTTGTAAAATGGTAGAGCTAGCCATTATTTGGGATGGAAAGGACCGTAGTGCGGTGTGACGATGACGCGTGCTACCCCGTCACTTCCGCGCAGCGGCTCGTCTAGGCATCGCTGGTACAAATGCTCAAGGAGTAGTGTAATGACAGCCTTTGAGCATGATCACGCATGTTCCCACTTAGCATGGATATCAGCGAACCAGTAAGACGAATGATAGCTATGGCAGCGCTCCTCCGTGCATTCGACGCGCATCCAGGCGAAGATCAGTCCACGTGTGTTGTGCAGCACGCGCCTCCCACATGGCTCGCACATCAGTGTGGAGGTCACTGGGATGCGCTTCGCGGAGTCGCTTTCTATGACACCACTCCAAGCGACGGCATCACTGTCTCACTTCGCGAAGCTGCGTCTAGCGACATTAGCCGTCGCGAGCTGTGCGCTCCCGTCGGCGTTGGGGCGGCGGGCGTTGCACCAGAGCGGTCTTTTCCGAGGTAGGTCTGCTTCCTTTGAGACCGTCACAAATGTATGCTCTGGTGTCCTCGGGCGCCCTACGGCGTTTTACTTAACCTCGCCGTGCTTTGTGCACATAGTTAAAGCTGTGGGAGGGCGGCCGCGGTGCGGCTAGGCGTGCGGCCGAGCGCGAGGTTCGCTGGCTCCTAACATGTTGTGAGGGAGCCGATAGCGGATTCGTTCTCTCCGACTGTGTATGTCGCCCGTGTCTTCCTTCTCTCCTGGTAGCTGAGGGTTGCGCAGTACCACCTGGCTCTCGGTCCAGCTGGTTAAGATCGCTATAAAACCCTGCCGTTTGGAGTATTTGTGCTGCCGATAACATTTCCCTCTGGGACAAACAACACAGGCGACTGTGTTACTCGCGGGTGGCAACCCCTTTTATTAGCGCCGCTGTACGATCGCCGGTATGAGTTCGCGCATTTGCGCCCTCTCTACTGGACGGGTGATCTGCCTCCGAGAATGAGCGTAAATGAGAGCCGTCATGCGTCGCTGAATTTCTTCCCGCACTGCCTCTCCAGCTGTCGTGCGGCGCTTTGCAACATTTTCGTGCACGTGCCCGAGAATCGCAGGCAATCTTTGGCACTGCGTTGCCGCAGCGCGTGCGTGGACAGATACACTTCCACTTACGCGGAGTTCCCCCTGATGCGTAGTTTCCTTAACCGTGCAGACGCCTGTACAAAAAGTGTTGACGTTCCCGAATTCCTCCTCAGACGATCGCCTGCATCGGATATAGCGGGCAGGTGCATCTTGTCACATCCTTCTGACCCCGTGTCAATCTAGGTGTTCGTGCTCTCTGGGCGTATCAGACAGCTCCAGTTTCCGCACCCTGCAACATCAATATTTCCGCACATGCTGGTTCGTGCAGCGCTTTGCAGCGAAACTCCAAATATGCCCCTCAAGAGGAACAATACCTCAGATAACTTGTCTTCGCTTTCCCCCGTTTGGTGAGGCTATGTTATTGATACTCCTTGTGTCTCTACTCAATGTAAGGAGCGGTCACAGATTTGCTCGCTATGTACGTCCTGCGGTGCAATGATGGGTCTTCAGACGATTCATCGTAAGTCTCTCTCGACACCCCGCTTATCGTCACGCCGTCGCTGGCGTTAGCTAGGCGACCTCAAGCCATCGTCTGTAGGAGCCCGAAAATGGTCCGGCCAAGCCTTCGTAGAGAAAAACGTATGTGCGGGCCCGCCGATGCGGGCGGCGGAGCCAGAGCGGAAATGAACGGGGCAACCTGTCGTTGCCATCCTTCGACTCGACAGCTATGGCAGCGGCACCTCGAGATAGTGATTAAGCCTAGTTCTTTAAGAAAAGTGGTCGCGGGATCCCAAATCGCGAAAATTTCGTCACTGACACATTTCCTTATATATGAGAAGTTTTTTTCAAGGAAATTCGATAAAGATATAACTCAACAATTTAATATCTAACAATATTAATGCCATTTTAGTCTCAACTAAATTCACTCAGCAGTAACAATAAGAAGAGCCGTGAATGGGCGTCGATGGTCCTGCGCAGGATGCATCCCCTTGCCGTGTGGACAAGAGGCAACCGCCTTATTCCAGGCTGTACGTTGTATGAACGAACGGCAGGCCAGAGTGCAGAGCCCTCATAGGAGAACCCGAGTTCGACTACGTCTTTCCAACGATAAGGACAGACCAAGCATAGCTTCTTAACAACACGGACCAGAAATATTTTGAGCAAATTAAGCTCAGAGTTAAATGGAGTGTAAACCCCTAAGTGCCGTTGCTTTTTGAAGGCTCCCCCTTGACGGTCGTTCCGTCCGAAGACCCCCGAGGATCATAGAACGCGCTCGCCATGGCAACTTCATCCCCGTGGCGCGCTGCTGAAAAATAAGCCGCGCCGCGGAGACGAGCACGCCGTCGACATTGCGGACTTTCCCCTAACTAAGGCGGGGGCTGTGGGCGTATCTAGCACAAAAAGGGCTTGCTTTCTTTCTTCGCCCATTAGTGAAGCTAAATGTTCTAACTTCATTTGCCTCTAGTCCTCAGAAAGCTACTTTGTCACACCGGATGGCTGGTTTAAAGCTCTATCGAAATATAAATATAATTCGACTTCGCTCAGAGAAATTTCTTATGCTCGCTGTTGTCTCGTGGCCGCTACAGTTATCTATAAGAGCACGCGGAGTGAGGGATAAGGCGGATGGACGGGCGCGAAAATCTTCATCACCATTTTGTTAAACGCGCTAGAGCTTCCCTGATTGGCATTGTCGACTAACGCAGCCTTGACAGTCTCACTCGCAAATTAAGAGTATCCTGAACCGTGTAGCACAAGGGCAAATATATTTTATTGAAGCGATTTTTTTATCTTTGGGTGTTTTGGAGGTTCGGGAAAGAAGTACCAAGCAGAAACTATATCTATTGATTCCTTCTTTCCATGTTTTAAAATTTGCTTCGGTTGTTTCAAAAATTTCTATGAGGATTCCGTCTGTAAAGCAGGAACGTAAGGTAGGTGGTTTGTAGTGCCACGTGATAAATATTCAAAGCGCGTGGATAAAATAGATGGTCGTGTTCATTTCCGGAAGATGACAGATGTTCAAAGACCGACAGTGGGGATCTTTCGGTAGCGCGAAGCAGCGAGTGTCAGTTTTATGCTCTGCAATGTGAGTGTTGACTGAGGCGTTGCGTTTTCCTATGTAAAGGGAACCACAAGGAACAGAATGAATCCTGTACACATCTGTGTGCATTAATGAAATTTTGCTTCGGACCCTTTTACTCAACGACATGTTGTATGTGTCGCCCGAGCTGTGTGGTAAGGCGTAAAGTTTTGTCTTTAAGTTTGTGTAGCTTCAGTATCTTGCGCTTTTTGAGATTATGGCAGCAGTGTAATAGTGTCGGTTTCGCGCGCTCCTTCAGCGAAACGGCTGGTTCCAACTGCGTGCGCTCACTTGTTGACAGTGGACTGATATCATGCCTCTTTACCATTCTTGTAGGTTCTGATGATCACCAGGTTCTGACTACTGAATGTAACGAACAATCTTCCTCTCATTTGGCCGTATTGACCCGTATGCTCAATTAGAAACAACATATATATGTGCAGTGCAGCAATTACGGCTCTGGGCGCTATGGGCAAGTGTCCTTCATCATTTGCCCTCTTTTTCGCGCCGTTGTGTAGAGACATTAAAATGAGGTCGGCGTAGAGGTTTCAGTCTCCTTTGTGTATACACAGGAATATCTCGTTGTCTTTCGTGGGTGACATTCCGCGGCAATACTTTATGGTCTCAGGGATCCGTCTCCCTCTTTTAAATAAGAAAACGACGTTTATGTGGCGCAGAAATCTACGGGGCAGGTGTCAATTTTGCTCTCTTCAATATTTGAAAACTTGACTAATACGGGCATGATCTTAGGTGAATGCATATTCAGATGTTGTCGGAAACTCCTGCCGAGTGCTTTTCTTGCTCCACGAGTGTGCTACCCATAACATATTTATTATGGTCAAAGATGTCGAGTCCACCGTAGGCATATTCGCCAACAAACAATTGAGTTTGCGTGGCGGGATGGTTGTTGCTGTAATCTCGAATTTCTCCGAATTTCACAAGTTAGTTTGGCCTACGAATTTACATCCCATTGTGCGTGAACTCAACGCGCGGTTTGCCCTTAGAATGAGCTACACTACTCCATCATTTCGTACAACTTGTCGTCAAAACTCTACCTATCGAGACTACAATAAATATGTTCATAGTGATCAATACATTGTGGTCTAGAAAAAAACCAACCGTGATGACCACAAGCTATTCTTCTAAACTAATCTATACCATTCGTCGGAGCACTAATTCTGACCCAAACAAAGCTAATATCTTATCCTATGATAGATCTTGAGTACATGGGCGTTCATAACAGCCGGTATCATATTCTACAGCCGTAACATTTGGAAAATATTGTCTCCTATCCGTGAGCCCTAAGATCCGTCTCTAAAGACGAGAGCGCAAACGTATTGGTGCTGTTTCAATCCCAATTGAACTGTCTACACCACGGCGTCTTCCCCATCAGCCCGAGAGACATTGAAGAATATTGACTCCAGCCGAGAAAGCCCCAATGGCTGCATAATAATTACTTCACGTCTTCTCGTTTAATTAGTCCACCAGAAGAGAAATGCATACATTCAAAGTACAAGAAGTAAAAGAAAACACGTTAATTTACATAGTAGACCGCTGTTGGTGTAATTGCTAACAAGGAGGCGATTATTTCAATAAAAGTTTATTCCACAGCTACGTCAGAATATCATCCAATAAACCATAAATGATTTAGACATTACCAGAAACATGTTACTTATGCATTTCTTGACTATTTTGAGTACGGTTGTGAAGCCGCAAATTAGTTTCCTCTTAGAAGAGTCGCCGTATATCAAAAAAGTTCATGATATGCTGCTGGGACACCATACTACCACGTGAGTTTCTATGCGTGACCACCAAATTCATCCGGACAGTTGGCTGCAGGAGAGACCAAAGGAAACAAGTTGCCCTACCCATCAGCGGACCACCAAAACATGTGTCGAATGAGTGGCGACATTGTCAAGACGATCGACGGTTAGCAGGCCAGGGCAAGCAGAGTGCGCTACGTCGCCGTTCTTCGTAGAAAGCATAAAGAGTAGTTCACCGTCAAAAAGCCATTCGAGAGCAATATGTTTTCTAAAGATTAATTATGGCATGTACATTGCCAAGCCAATTTACATTTGTTAGCCAATGATGCCCCAAACCGACACACTTGGCGTTTTCTGCCGCTGTTGGCGGTCCAGAAGCGCAGGGCTGGGAGAATTGGCTATCTCCAAGGTGGCTTCGAAGACACGTACGCGACCATAGCTGTACGCGGACAAATTGAAGCGCAAGACTAGAGTACCAATTAAATGCTCTCTTACAAGTTTGACCACTTCAGATTACACCAGTGAACACTACCACATGCCCAGTGCTGTCTGTAGGCTTGTTTAGTTTTACTATGCGCACAACGGATCCGACACGACAGGTAGCGCGAAACCACTCTTAATTTCTCAGCAAGAATAATCGCGCGTGTCACAGTCGATACCATCCAGGACATTATTTGGCCTTCACCTTGCAGTACTCAAACGTTCGAGCCAACACGTATGAAATCCTCTACGTTGAGCTGTGTACGACAACTCTCTATCCACTATTTACACACATGCATCACTAGATCGAGCAGCGCGCAACGTTTGAGCCCGCAATGTCACAACGGTCTACTAACGATGCTTATTTGGAAGGCCGAATCATTATTGCCCTACTCGAACTCAGATGCTGACATATTGCAATCTTGTACAAGGGGGGGGGGGGTCGGATTTTTCCCTTGCTTGTGAAAAATTAAAACATGTGCATGTTATCACTGACTCGGGAAACCCTGAAACATAAATATAGCATTAAACAGAGTGACTAAGAACACTATGGCCTGCTGCGACAGCTTCTTTAGTATGTCGTTAGAGTGCCGTCGGGGCCGGGAGCTTTTCTAGTTTTCAGCTCCGAGATGGCCGCGTTAACTTCAGTTTATGTAGCGCAACTCGGCTCGTCGGCGGGCGCGTGCTAGGCCGCCATTACCGTTTGTTGTACTTCGACAACGTATCGGCGGCGCCTCTAAGACATTAGCTAGGAGTTCCACTTTCGCCTCGTTTGATTCTGCGAGCTCTCCTGTGCTGGTCTGAAGCGGAGGCACTGTTATTGGAGACCTGGAAAGTATGCGAGTGACTCGCCACAGTGAATTATCGTCAGGTTTGAGAGCTGACAACAATTTATCTCATTTCTTATTGCGGTATTTAGATAGTTCAATTTCTACTTTACGTTTCAATCGATTTAGCTCCCGCTTATCATCTGGGTGTCACGTGCTCTGCCACAATCTGAGCGCCCTGTTTTTCCTAGAAATTAAGTTGATTAAAGACGGGGTTAATGGTTGCTCCTTCTTAGAGGAACGCGGCTTCTCAGCTGCTGCGTTGAGGCTGTCAGTCACAGCTTCGGCGAATTGTTGTGCTCCAGCTTCCATCTGCTGCGGTCTTGACAGAGCAAATGCATCGGGTATGCGCTGCTGCAGCTCCGTCTAGAATTTATTCCAGTCCATGCGCCTCTTCTGCGTCGAGTGTGCAGTCGACAGGTGGTTGTTAGTGTGGGAGGGTAATGGAGTTTTCGGCAGAGCGTGATATCTAAAGTATCGGGCTTGCCGTTCGTTCGAAAGGGATAATAGGTGGATGTATAGGGAGTGTATATCTCGCAACCGTTTGCATCAGCGATTGCTTTCAGCTTACGGCCGCGGGGGCAGGTGATGCGGGAGCTCCAGGCTGTGTGTTGTGCATTAAAAGTGCCAGCCACAAGGATTGGGGTTGTGTTTGCCTCTACTAGTTTTGCAACATCTGCAGCTAGCAGGGCGCACGTTTCCGCGGTGCGGTCAGGGCGTGCGTAGATGGAAATGAGACGCAGTGGCCCTCGCTCCGTCTGAACGACAACAGCAGTGGCCTGGGCGTGCTGCAGCTGCGGTAGTGCTGTACTAATGAGATACGTTGCATCTTATTAATATTGCAGTGCGTCAATATTGTCTGTGCGCGTCTGTCACATTTGCTGCTTGTGCTACTCTGCCGTTTCTGTAGGTGTAGAAATCTGGAATATTTAAAAATCGATGTGGGTTAAGCCACGTCTCCCCCAACATCATGATTGAGATATTGCACCGTGCGAGAAACTGTGCAGTTCTGACTGCTTCACTCGTGAGCAGATGCCGTTGCAGATCCAAAATTCAAAGGGTGCCGCTGTTCTTGTAAAAGGTAGAGCTAGCCATTATTTAGGGATGGGAAGGACGTAGTGCGGGTGACGATGACGCGTGCCTCCCCCGTCACTTCCGCTGCAGCGGTCTCGTGCGCATGCTCAAGGAGTAGTGTAATGACAGCCTTGAGCATGACCGATGCCCACTAGGCTGGATCGCGACCAGTGACGGATAGCATGAGCGCCCGCACGACGCGATCCAGGGCGAGATCGTCCACGGTGTTGTGCAGCACGCGCTCCTGCTCGCTCAGTGTGGAGGTCACTGGGATGCTCTTCGCCGTCCGCCTATGCCACTCCAGCGCGCATCACGCTCCTCGCGAGCTGCGTCGGCGGCCGTCGGCTGGCGCTCCCGGGTGGGGCGGGGGCGTTGCACCAGAGCGGCCGAGTAGGTCTGCTCCTGGCGTCGCTGCTTCTCCTGGGCGCCTCGGCGTTCGCCGCTGGAAGAACGCTGGGGCCGCGGTGGCGGCGTAGGCGTGCGGCGGCGCGAAGGTTCGCGCTCCCGTGAGGATGATCGCGACGCCTCCGACTGTGTGTCGGCCGTTCTCCTCTCCTGGATGAGGGCGCGACACTGGCGGTCCCGCTGTAGTCGCTCCTGCCGTTGTTATTGCGCTACCTTTCCCCTGGAACAACGGCGCTTGTACTCGGGGCAGCCCTTTTATTTAGCGCCGTGTAGATCGCCGTTAGAGTTCGCGCATTTGCGCTCTTCTACTGGACGGTGATCCTCCAGTGAGCACTGCGCAGCGTCGTGAATCTTCCCGCACTGCTTGCAGCGCGTGCGGCGCTTGCAATTTCGTGCCACGTGCCCGAAATCCAGGCAATTTTGGCACTGCGTGTGCCCGCGCGGTGGACGATACACTTCCACATACGCGGAGTTCCCCCTGGATGCTAGTTACCTTACGGAGCGCCCGGTGACGTTCCGTGTCCTCCAGCGTCGCGATGATTAGCGGCAGTGCTCTGCCCCTTCGCCCCGGTCGCTGGCTTATCAGAAGCTCCAGTTTCTGCACCTGAAAATCAATTTTCGACATGCTGTCGTGCAGGCTTTGCAGCGAAAGCTCCAAAGGTATGCCCCTCAGGACATACCTCAGAACTTTCGCGTCCCCCGTGGAGTATGTATGATACTCCTTGGCTCTCTCGTGTAGGGCGGCCAGAGCATCGCGATGCGCCTCGAGGGACTCGCGTCGAACCCTGACCGCTTCACCGTCGCCGTAGGCCGACCTCAAGCCCTCGAGGAGCCCGAAAATGTCCGCCAGCCCGTAGAGAAAGATGGGGGGTGGGCGGCGGCGGCGGCGGCGGCGGCGGGTGACGAGCAACCTCTTCTTCATCCTCTCTGGCAGCAGCGGCGGGTGGCGTCGTGATTGGCGTGGCTGCGGCATCCATTGCGGTGAGCAGCGCATCAGGTGTAGTTGTAGACGCGGGCGGCGAGGCGGCCGGCATAGAACCGTTGCTCGTCTTCCTCCTAGAAGCAGGGAAATATTTTGAGCAAATTAGCTCGGTTAATGGGGAACCTAAGCGTTGCTTTAAGGCTCCCCTTGACGTCGTTCGTCCAGCGGTTCTAGCGCGCTCGCCACTTTCATCCCCGTGGGGTGAAAAATAGCCGCGCCGGAGACGACGCAGCCGTGGACATTGCGACTTTCCCCTAATAGGGGGCTGTGTATATTAGCACTAAATAGGGCTTTTTCTTCTTCGCCCTAGAAGGGCAAGGCTAACTCTTTGCTCTAGTCCTCAGAAGTACTTTGTCACACGGTGGATGGAGCTCTTCGAATATAATATATTCGGATTCTCTCCGAGAATCTGATGCCGCGTTGGTCTCGGCCGCTACATTTATAGGCCGCGGGTGAGGGTAGCGGAGGGGGCGGTTTCGCGCGCTGGCTTCTGATTGGCTGTCGCTACGCGAGCTGGCTTGCAATTAGGTATCGACCGAGCAGGAAATTTTATTATTGAAAGGTTTTTTATCTTGGTGTTTTGGAGTTCGGGATACCAAGCAGAACTAATTTTGATTCCTTCTTTCCTGTTAAAATTGTTCGGTTGTTTGAAAATTTCTATGGCTTCCCGTTGTAAGCGGGCGTGGTAGTGGTTTGTAGTGCATAAAATATCGGCGTGGATAAAATAGATGTCGTGTTCTTTTCCGGAAAGTGCATGTTCAGCCACAGCGGATCTTTCGGTGCAGCCGAAGCGGCAGTTCCATTTATGCTCTGCAAGGTGAGTGTTGACTGAGCGTTGCGTTGTTCCTATGTAAAGGGAACCCCAGGAACAGTGAATCCTGTACACATCTGCTGTCATTAATGAATTTCTTCGGACCTTTACTCAACGAAACATGTTGTAGAGCTGTGTGGTAGGCGTAAAGTTTGTCTTAAGTTTGTGTAGCTTCAGTATCTTGCGTTTCTGAGATATGGCAGTGTAATAGTGTCGGTAGCCTCTTCCTTGGAACGGCTGCGTGCGCTCTTGTTTGGATGTAATGCTCTCTTTACTTCTTGAGATGAGTAACCGTTGGCTTGAAGAACATTCTCCAGATGACCAAGTTTGCATATACGTGCATGCGCATATACGTCGGGCGCTATGGGCAAGTGTCTTCAACATTGCCCTCTTTTCGCTTGGGTGGTGGTTTCGCATTTTATTCAGATATCGTTCCTTGTGGGTGACATTCCGCAATACTTTATGGCCCAGAGATCCGTGTGTCATATCAGTCGCCATGTACAAACGTACCAAATATCAGCAACGTGCATTTGCTCATGGACAGTCCACGTGCCATGCTCATGGGCAGCGCTGGCGGGAAGAGACGCTGGAGGGAAGTAACGTGTCAATATTGTTTATTGTAATTATTGTACATAGTATTCATGTGTTGGAGCATTTTTTCAAATAAATACTCAATAAATTACAAACCGTTCACGTCTGTAATTTATTGCCCCGGCAAAGACGCCAAGTATCACTGAGGCATACGAGCACTCGCTTCCACTCTTCAAGTCGTTTGACGGCTCTACACCGAGTGTGGCGTTGCACTGACGTGACCTGTCACACAAAGGAGGGCGCTGCCAGACCAACGTACACGCGATCTCTATGCAAATTTAATCATTTCTTACGGATACACTAGTCTACACATTCACCGATTTAAGTGATTCTGACCATTTCTTGTGAGTATTGCATTTTTCAAAAACACTAATGCACAATATTCACTATCTTTAAATGAAATTGTGTTTCGAATTATTATTTCCAAATAAAAAATTGACTTCCTTAGTTAATAAATCGTTTGCAAATATTCAGAGGTTAGTGAATAAATTATTATAGTATCTGTTTACGATTCGTTATATTCCTGTTCACAATATTCTTTTACAAAATTAGAGTAATTCTTATAACATAACACCTGGCACTAGCTAACGTCGTCCTGGGTTTTATAAAAAGCTCTCTGGCGGTACGACCTTGTTTCTGTCTAGCTGAGCTTGTTATAAAATTAACAGAATTGTCTTATAACCTTGCATTTTAACTCTCAGTATTCCTATACATTTAACTGGCAGTAGAAGCAAACAAATACATTGAATTGCAGGCCGTTCAGCGACTCACGCTACCATCCCTCGATGTCTGTTCGCTGCGTGGAGCCGACTCCTTGGGCGAGGTCGCTGTGCCATTCAGGTAGCTCCTTGCTCGACAATTCCTTCTGTCATTTGCTGAACGCTTTCTTTCGTTCAGTATCGTCGAAAAGAATTTAATATGTTCTCGGTTGCACAACATAAAGAATGTTAATAATAAAAGAAACAAGAAATAAAAGTTGTAAAAAGTTAGGCGTTTCGTTAGTTTCTTATAGTAGAACGTTTAAGCGCAGTGCTTTCGCTGTTAATATATAGTACGCACGTCGTCTATTCAATAACCTACACTTGAAAAACTAGATTTGTTATTCAAGATTGAGTTTATTCAATTTTCTTTCATTTATGTTGAGATCATTTTGAAACTTGTGTATTAAAGGAGTTTCATTACCTCTTTTCTGAGCTTCGGAGATTCGCTGAGCTGGTCAGGCTTTCAATTTACGGTCATCGCAGCCTGCGCAGTGCCTTATATCCGTCTGTTATTGAATTACTCGTAGGTCAGAATAGGTAGTGGCAGAATTCTAAAGCCTTTAATAGCATAAGATAAATTTATTCAAACTGCAGTTGGGAATAACCCGGTGGAAGGTAATTTTATAAATAAGAATATATCTAACATGTAAATTATATTGTAATAATTATGGTACAATAATAATCATAGTAACAACAGTAACAACTATAAGAGTAACAACAATAGTAAAATAATAATATTTATAATAATAATAATAATAATTGAGTGATTCACAAAACATTGAAATACCTTAAAAAAGGAACTTGTACAGTCTAACTGCGCACTGAATGTTTGTTCAATTAAGACCACACTGCATTGGCACTAAACAGCACTTCACTTCACTACCCTTAAATCACTTCCTTCATTATTTCTCTGCTCTACACTGCACGACACCTCACTTCACAATATGTCACTTATACTTGTACTTCGCTCTATAACCTAACATTCTTAGTTCCCTCATTTACTAAGTAATACCCTAAATTAACTTCCTAAACTGTTGAACGCTTCGAGGAAAGGGTTCAAAGGTTTTACCAGGCAATCTATTCCATTCTTTTATCGTTCGATTTGTGAAAGAAATTTCCCGACCTGTTGGGTCTCAAATATATTTTGTGCTCTGTGATCTCAAATTTATTTTGTGCCTGTGATCTCCCCTACTGATGTATGTAGGAATAATTAGCCGCCGATTAATTTCTTTCGACGCTGGATGACCCCTATAAGCTTTATACAAAGCGCAGAGTTTTGCTACTGATCGCCTGTTTTCGAGTGTATCCCATCCTGCCATTTTTTTGTCCCTGAAAGTAAATTTAGCTGCCCTACGCTGAATCCTTTCCAAATGTTTACACTGCATAATTTTGTGCGGGTCCAACAATTTGTTCCATACTCCATTATCGGACGAACAAGCGATAAATAAGCAATGTACTTCGCGTTTTCCGTATTATTTTTTTAAGGTGCGCGTTACAAAGTGAAGAGATCTCCAGGCTTTCCCTACAACTCCCTACTCTGAGCAGGAGCATGTAGTCGCTAAGGCGAGCAGTTACACACAATTTAAATTATAATCTTTAATATTGGTAGGTGTTGTATGATAGATCAAGGGCGTCACCTTACGAGCGCTCCAGAAACTACCGCAACGTGCTGACTGCAGGCCGCTCGACAGACAGACGCTGGACGCCGGACGCGCGGTGACGAACGTGCTACGCTCATCTGCTATATAATACTGTGATATCCAAAGTTTAATAATAAATGCTATTCCTATTGTGTATCGTGTGTCGTTATTCATGCAACAGTAGGAATTACATCATTAAATTAGACTTACTAAAATTGACTCTGGAGTGCTTAGCGGATCAATTCACACGAAGGCAAGTTTGGATGAAAAAGTACGTGAATCTTCGTCAGTTGGTGTATGTGCAGCCATTTAATAAGTCTTCTACATCAGTATAAAGAAATTCTACTAAATATAGTAAATGGGCTATGTTGAGTACATATTTAATTCTTTAATAACAAAATTGACTATTTTGAAGTGAAGCAAATATTTCTTCGGGTAATATTCGAAAATATTACCAATTAAAACAAGCGATGCTACAGAATGGCAAAACTTTCTTTACTAGTTAGTTTTCTAATTTCTTTGGTCTGCACTAGCTTTTCGGTCCTGGCCCATCTTCTTGGTAGATGCCATCTATCGCCCAAACTTCATTTTTTTCGCAATTTTTCGGTTTTCTAATGGTACAACCGAAATATTTAAAAATATTATAGAGGTGTAAAATATCGATCTAAATGGATATCTCTTTGAAAATTGTGGATCCGTTTTAAAGAAAATATCGTTTAGCGTCACTGTAAATGCGAAATTTGAAGTTCGTATTCACAGAAAACTTTTGAGTTTTCCAGAAACTTCGTTGGAAATTTGATAAACTTTTACTCACAAATGCTATAATATGTACAAATAAATGAAAATGCGCATATTAATTGCGTGGGTATTGTTTAAAAAATATGTTAACGTAATTTTTTGGGAAAAAATACAAAAAAATACAGCAAAATCACTTATGTCATCTTACATAGTGCATTTTCCGCTCTGTGTACAAAAACGTTGAAGAAAAAATTGGGGCCGTTTTTGAGCGTTTCTGAAAATTTGCAATTTGAGCTCATTCACATCACAAAAACCTTTTTAAGTTTTCGGGAAAGTTTATGAAACATTTGATGCATATGTACTCATAAATGAAATAATGTACATAAATAGCTAGTAATATAAATATTAACGACGTGAGAGATTTGTATATTTAAAAAAATAGAGAAAAATGGCTTTTGTATTATTACAGTACATTAGCACTATCTCTTCCGAAAGGTTAATAAAAAAAATGTGCCGTTTTTGAGAAAATCTTGTTTTGTATATTGCACATACACGTATTTCACGCAATAATTCGCGAAAAATTCTAAAATTTTCAACAACAAAAATATGCATGTCCTTAAAGAAAGAACTTATTATGGAGAACAAATTACATTTGAAGGCAGTATCTATCTTTAATTTTGTTGGCGGAAAACTCCAAACAATGCAAAGCTTTACAATTTTCGAAAATTTAGAGTTAATAGTGCAAATCGGTCCTATGCCACCTTTATATGGTTCTAGGTCAATAGGTCCACAGGACAATGTCCAATTCACACAGAGTCCAGAGCAAAAATATCCTCTTCATAAAGTGCAATGAAAGTAATGCCCACAACAAAAATTACCACATCATGCTGCCCATGTCGCCATTTGACTAGCGACTGGCTCAAACATACCAATTTAACTGTTGCAGTATTTGCAGCAAATGACCCATGAACGCAACAATAGTTCACCCAATCCTGCTTTGATTACATTGATGTGCGCTTTCAATTTTTGACTACCATAATCAGCGATCAAAACTCTTTACAGTAAAGAAATGTTTGACGAAAAGAGACCTAGAGTTTTCTTTTGTTTTCTTCTTTTATTTGTAAAAATGGATTTAAATATTTATGTTAGAACTAAGTAATTATTTTAACAATAGTATTTTATAGTATCATATTCACTCTGAGAAAACTATATATAATATAATAACAAAGGTTTATTATTTAATAAAAATCTATGACACCATTCAAAATGATGATTGATCTGATCGTACAGAAACTATGACAGCAATGAAATGAATGTGAAGAATCTTGACACCATTCTATTGCCATTTTCCGAAATGATAACTCGTTCAACGCAATCATTGTCGCAAAGGAGGTTGATTACAACATAGCCCACTAAAATGTTTCATTTTTGTGGCCCACTCGCTTTCAAACACTGTTCCAATTTTGTAGATCGATCAAACTTACTCTCGACTGAATGACTCCCAGGCCCTTGAATTTTCTCTTTCTTATTCATTTCGCACACGGTGAGGTGGTCAACGAATGCACTGTGGGCGTAGGGTCTGCCTCATCATCCCATATCGTTATTTGGCGATTTAACAATGTCAAATTAAATTTTGTTGCACACGAATTTAATGTTAGAGGTTACCAAAACAGCTTGAAAATATCAATTATTTTTTTAGTCGATGAATTATTATTAACAAGTTCTAATTTTAAACATGAATATTTTTTAACTTCAATATTTTGTTATCATAGTTGCATCACTTCAAAAAAATTGAACTTTTCAAATTTCGAAAAATTTGTTTTTAATGAAAAAGAGACCTGCACCATTTTCTAAAATACTTGATTGAACTCTCCTTTACTCTATCTTAACAAAAAAATTTAATCAAAAAAATCGATACTATATTTTGAAATTTTTGGAAATATCCCAGGGGCTTTATGTAAAGTAACCCCGACAATTAGAATATCGGTTTCAAATTCAAGGAGCCGTGTCATCAGCCAGATCCATTATTCATTTTTTTCATTACCAGGGTCTGTCAAAAATATATTTCTGTCGAAATTTTGCAGTTTTTTCGCAGCATTACATATCTTTCTCTATATTGCGTAAGCAGAAGCGAGAAAGTAAAATATATGAACACAAAAGTGTTTCTCGCTCATCTCATATTCCAACCGAGCAGCTGCTGACAGTCATGGAGGAATCGTTCTATAAGGAATCCCCAGTGTTGCTCCCACCATTTCTCGACGATATCATTAAACAACCAAGTAGCACATCATAGGGTGGCGTCTTGCAGGGTGCAATAATACACAGACGAGAGTGCGTTTAATTTATTACTAGTTTATTAATAAATGAATCCACCACCGAAATAAACATTATCTACAATAGTTACATAAACGAAATAAATCGATCCCACTACTAGAAGTAATTTTCATTCTATGACTACCACACCCCCTACTTAATAATCGAATAGATCCGATCGTGTGAAGCATCATAGAGTTCCTTCATGACTCGTCACTTGAGTCTAACTACATAAGTGCATTGCCGGCCCTAGCCTACGCGCTCTCGGTCTGCACCCCTCCCGGCGTGCTGCCTCCGATCCGCACAGACCGACTCCTCGAAAAGAGACTGGTGAAGCGTGGCAGCCGCCTAGCGGGGGTGGCTGCGCCCAGCACCCCTTCACTGGGTTTTACGCTACGTCACATCCTGACGTCGCACCCTTAACCCAAGTGGTCTGTCATGCGGCGGGCACATGGTCATCTGCATCTATGTTTGTGCACGAACGCTACAATAGCATCTCGAGGCAGCTAATATTGAGCAGTAGAAGCCAATAAAGGAAGCAGCCATTCCGCACTAAGCAGTCGACCTTCTGAGCACTCCTTTTATCCATAATATTGTCAATCATATAATAACTCATACAATGAACATCATTAATTTTGTCATTCTAAATTTTATTCTAGACCTATAAGTAATTACTAATTTTAGTTCATCCAGTGGCAAACAAATTCAAATAATAAATTAATCCTAATGAGCTGGAACGCATGTGGCATCACCAATAAAAAACTCTGTTTCTTTCTCCAAACAAACAATTGCATGCTTCACAGAATCTCATTTAAAACCTCCAACAACCTTCAAAATACCAGGTTAGAATACAGTAGAATGGATAGGATCAACTCTTCAGGCTGAGTCATCATACATATTAAAACACTATCATCTATTTCGAAGAAATTTCAACAGCCATCACTGGCATCGAAACAAAAGCAGTTTTAATTACCAACACCATCCCGAATTTTACTATCATTGCCGCTAATAACCCCCCCAACATAAAAACAAATGTTACAGATCGAAACATTTTACTTCCGCGCTTACCATCTTACGTTCGTGTAGGAGATCTAAATGCTAAACATGTACACTGAGCCTGCTGAGTCACCAATGCAGCAGGCGCTCAACTATTAATATATGTTGTATTTTCCCTATGATCCAATCACGCTTCTTGATATACTTGTCATAGGAATAACATAAATAAATGCCAATTTCACTCAACCCCGCATTTTGAATCGGATCGCCTACCAGTAATCATTTCTACAGATAAAATCCCCCCTCCCCACTCACCCACTCCAGCATCAAATACTTTCTCACACACTCCAGCATTAAGTTCTTCAGCCGACGTCGACCACGCAATAACGCAACTAAATAATATAATAATTAATACAATAGGCAACCTCAACCCTGAACGACCGAGCACCCTTCGGAAACATGTATAAAACAATTACAAAGCATAATCAAAATAGGATATTTAGATTTATTTAGTCAAAAAACAGTAAAAACTGTATATGACGTATGGGAGAGAAGATAATCTGCACACGTTTTCTTTAGTTCCAGAATCCCTTACCATCATTTCAGCTATAAATACTCGTAATTGAAAGATGAGTAAAAGTTAAAGATAAATTAAATAAATAAATATATAAATAAATAAATAAATAAGTTTATTAATTAATTAATACATTAGTTAAAGTTAACATAATATTATTTTCGGACTACTTGCTGAAGGAATCCTGAAACACAGCTTACAACGCCATTGACACAAATGAAAAATATAATCTATTCATTTCACTTTAACACATCTTTCCTCTCAAACAAAGAAAATTAAACATTTCACGGAAAAATAATACTTGGATCACACAAGGAACATCGTGTAAAAACAATCGTACGCATATTTCTAAACATTGTAACGTATCACTCGTTTTCCATGTCTTTTTCGAAAATACAAAAGAATTTTAAGAAAAATAATAGTTCAGGCAAAAGTAATGAAAAATAGCCAGGTTA